TGTGCGGTATTGAAGTCCTCTACTATTACTGTATTGTTGTCTATTTCTCCCTTCAGTTCTGTTATTATTTGCTTTAAAAATTTAGGTGTTCCAATATTGGGTACATATATATTTACAATTGCTATATCCTGTGATGAATTGACCCCTTTATCACAACGCAGTGAACTTATTTATGTTTTGTGACCGATTTTGACTGAAAGTCTATTTTATCTGATAGAAGTATAGCCACTCCTGCTCTCTTTTGGTTACCATTTGCAGGGAGTATCTTTTTCCATCCCTTACTTTCAGTCTATGTGTGTTCTTAAAGCTAAAGTGAGTCTCTAATAGGTAGCATATTGCTGGATCTTGTTTTTTTTTTCCCCCCAAAGCCCCAATAGATAGTTGTATGTCATAGTTGCACATCCTTCTAGTTGCTGTATGTGGCACTCGGCCTCAGCATGGCCCGATAAGCGGTGCGTGGGTGTGAGCCCAGGATCGGAACTCGGGCCACCAGTAGCAGAGCACGCGCGCTTAACCACTAAGCCACAGGGCCGGCCGCTGGATCTTGTTTTTCATTTATCCATTCAGTTACTTTGTGTCTATTAATTGGAAAATTTAGTTTATTTATATTTAAAGAAATTACTGAAAGGTAAGGATTTACTATTGCCATTTCATTGTTTTCTGACTGTTTTTTGTTTCATTTGTTCCTTTCTTCCACTCTTACTATCTTCCTTTGTAATTTATATTTTTGTATTGGTATGCTTTAATTCTTTTCTCTTTATCTTTTGTGTAACTACTATAAGTTTTATCTTTGTGGTTACCATGAAGCTTAAATAAAACATGTTACAGATATAACAGTCTATTTTATTTATTTATTTTTTTTGAGGAAGATTGGCCCTGAGCTAACATCTGTTGCCAATCTTCCTCTTTTTCTTTTTTCTCCCCCAAACCCCAGTACATAGTTGTACATCCTAGTTGTAGGTCCTTCTAGTTCTTCTATTTGGGATGCCACTTCAGCATGCCTTGATGAGGGGTGAATAGGTCTGTGCCCAGGATCCGAACCGGCAAACCCTGGGCCACCAAACTGGAATGTGCAAACTTAACCACTATGCCACTGGGCCAGTCCCCATAACAGTCTATTTTAACCTAATAACAGCTTACCCTCAATCACATACAAGAGCTACACTTTTACTTTTCCTTCCAATTTTATGCTATGAAGTCACACTTTACTTTTTTTTTTTTTAATTTTATTTATTTATTTGTTTTTCCCCCAAAGCCCCAGGAGATAGTTGTACATCATAGTTTCACATCCTTCTAGTTGCTGTATGTGGGACATGGCCTCAGCATGGCCGGAGAAGAGGTGTGTCGGTGCGCGCCTGGGATCCGAACCCAGGCCGCCAGCAGCGGAGCACGTGCACTTAACCGCTAAGCCACGGGGCCGGCCCCACACTTAACTTTTTATATTGTGCATCCACTAACAAATTATAGTAGCTATAGTTATTTTAAATATCATTGTTTTAAACTTTTACGCTAGAGATAACGGTGATGTACACATCACCATTACAGTATTAGGACAATCTGAATTTCACTATATATTTACCTTTACTGGTGAGTTTTATACTTTTATATGTTTTCATGTTGTTACTTAGTGTTCTTTCATTTCAAGAACTCTCTTTAGCATTTCTTGTAAGGCAGGTCTAGTGGTGATGAATTCCTTTAGCTTTAGTTTGTCTGGGAATGTCTTTATCTTTCCTTCATTTCTAAAGGACAGTTTTGCTGGTTTTATGCTATACTGTGATTTATAAGAGATATATATTTGGTCATCTGAATGACCGTCTATATTTCTCTTATATATTTGGTTTTTGTCCATGGTTCCTGGCTCACAGCTCCCAAAGCCCTTGGAATTTCCTAAGTGATAAGAGCAATAACGGTGTTTTTTGTTATGTTAATGAAGTGACTTTTGGAAAACACCTAAGTATGGGAGCTGGTTGCCAAGAGAATCAACCAAGTGATTAGAGAGTTGGAACTTTCAGCCCCACCCCCACACCTTCAAGGAGGGGAGAGGGGCTGGAGTTTCACTCAGTCACCAATGGCCAATGATTTAATTAATCATGCCTATGTAATGAAGCCTCTATAAAAAGCCAAAAGCATGGGCTACCGAGCTTCCAGGTTGGTGAACACATGAAGATGTGGGGAGAGTGATGCCCCTGGAGACAGCATGGAAGCTCCGCACCCTTTCCCCATACCTTGCCCTATGCATCTCTTCCATCTGGCTGTTCCTGAGTTATATCCTTTTATAATAAACTGGTGATCTAGTAAGTAAAATGTTTCTCTGATCTGTGAGGCACTCTAGCAAATTAATCAAACCCAAGAAGGGGGTTATGAAAACCTCTGATTTATAGCCAGTTGGTCAGAAGTACAGGCAACAACTTGGACCTGCATGGTGGTTTGTGAAGAAGCAAGAACCCAAAAGAGTAGTATTCTTGGTTGGCAGTTTTTTCTTTCATCACTTTGAGTATATCATCCCACTCCCTCCTGGCCTGCAAAGTTTCTACAGAGAAATCTGCTGATAGCTTTATGGGGATGGGGGGGGCGGTCCCCTTGTATGTGATGAGTCATTTTTCTCTTGCTGCTTTCAAAATTCTCTCCTTGTCTTTGATTTTTAATGTTTTGATTATATCGTGTCTTGGTGTAATCTTCTTCAAGTTGATCTTGCTTGGGGTCCTTTGAGCTGCCTACACCTGGATATCCATCTGTCTCCCAAGATTTGGGAAGATTTTTGCTATTCTTTCTTTAAATAATCTTTCTGCCCCTTTCTCTCTTCTCTTTCTGGGATGCCTATGATGCAAATGTTCATTTTCTTAATGGTATTCCATACTTCATGTAGGCTTTCTTCACTCTTTTTCATTCTTCTTTTTGTTCCTCTAATTTCAAATGATCTGTCTTTGAGTTCATTGATTCTTTCTTCTGCATGATCAGGGCTGTTGGTGAAACTCTCTATTGAATTTTTCAGTTCTGTCATTGTATTCTTCAGCTCCAGGATTTCTGTTGGGTTCTTTTTTATGGTTTCTATTTCTTTATTAAACTTCTCATTTTTCTCATGTATTGTTTTCCTGATTTCATTTAGTTGTTTATCTGTGTTCTCTTGCATTTTGCTGAATTTCCTTAAGATGATTATTTTGAGTTCATTGCCAGGCAAATCATAGATCTCCATTTCTTTGGGGTTGGTTACTGGAGCTTTATTAGTTTCCTTTAGTGGTGTCATGTTTGCCTAATTCTTCATGATCTGTGTAACTTTGCATTGGTGCCTATACATTTGAAGGAGCAAACTCCTCTTCCAGTCTTTACAGACTGGTTTCAGTAGGTAAAACCTTCTCCTGTTGGTTCCCTGGGCTGACGGGATTACCTCCAGAATTGTAGTTATGCTGGGTTAAAGTCAGTTTTGAGGCTGTTGCTGGGTCTGCAGTGGGGTCTGCAGTTGACATGCTCATTATCAGGGGGCTGGGTGGGCATGGATCCAGTCTGGTCCCTGGGTGGGTGGGACTACCTCCAGTACCTTGTTCAGTAGGTAACACTGGGACAAGGATCCACTTCAGGATCCACAGGTTCTCAGTCAGTGAGACTATTACCAGGGGTGCAGATGGGTGTAGTTCCCACTAGGTCCCTGGGAAGGCTTCTGCCTAGTCACTGGATGGGTCCCTGGGTGGGCAGGATTGGCCCTGGACCATGGTTGAGAGAGGCTGGAACCAAGCCCAGGGCTGGTTCAGGTTCCAAAGCCAAGACTGAGGTCTGTAGACCTGGCTCTGGAGGTGTGGAGGGATATGTCTCCCACTAGGTCTCTGGGTAGGTTGACTGGTCCCTGACCATGGCTGGAGAGGCTGGAACAGAGTATAGGGCCCTTTCTGGATCTCCTCAGGTGCAGACATGAGTGTCTCCTGCCAGGTCCCTATGCTTGCTGACTGCTGCTAGGAGGGGGCTAGAGCTGAGTATTGGGCCATTTCAGAACCTCCAAGGTTGTGGACAGGAGTGTCTCCTGCAGGGTCCCTGTGCCAGCAAGACTCTTTGCGAACTGTGGCTGGGACGGGCTGGAGTCCAGTTACTGGACCCTTTTAGAATCTACAGTCTGACTGAGTTTGATAGGCTTACCTCCAGGAGCTCCCAGACTATAGTCAAGAGGGGCTGGAGCTGGTTCATGGGCCACTTCAAGGGTCCATAGCTGGGACCAAGTTCTGTACACCTATTACGTGGCACATGAGTGGGCCTAACTCCTCCTGGGTCCCTCAGCGTATGGGGCTGGTGACAGGACCAAGCCAAACAAGGCTGTAGCCGAGTTCTCAGGAGTATGGGGCTGTAGCTGAGTTCTCAGAGGTATGGAGCTATTTCCATTTCTGCAGCCAGGACTATGGTCAGCAAGTCAGCCGCCTGGGTGTGAGTCTGCCCTCTCAAAACACTCTCCTCGGTCTTGGATTGCACTGGGGTTTCCAAATGAGCTAACTGGATCCCAAAGCTCCCACAAGGCAATTTTGTCCATGAACAGATGCCAAATAATTGTTGGGGAGGTGGTGGTGATACATGGGAAGGACATCTTATCCAGCCACCTTGCTGATGCCACTTTCAATTTTTACTTTAATAAGAAGAGATTCTTCATCACAGTCACACACAATGGTCTTGTGGCCATAAATAATTTTGTATCTGTTTTTATAGTATCAATATTTAAAAAGTATAAAAAGTATACAGACTAACCAATGTGATGTCCAAAGGTAGATTTTCTTTTTGGTGGGGATTAAGGTAAAAACTACACTCTTTATAGGGAAATATCCCATATGTGGGTTTTGGTTGAAACCTCAGAAGTTTGTCATGGTTGATATCATAAGTATTTGTAGTTGTAAAATCTTAGGGTGGTGAAAGCTCATTTTGTAATGCTAGTTTTTCAGGACTATCAATAATTTCCAAATTTAAATAGTCTATTCTAAAATAGTTTTTCAATAATGTCTCCTACTTTTAAGTAAGAAGTACTATACCTCGCTTTCTTTTTCTGGATGTTTTTCAACCCACATTCTTGGGAGATATGCATCAGACAAACCGATGTGGAGAGAAAATCCACTGCTGTCTAAGGAGCTTCCTTCCACAATGCTAATTACAGCTTTGCAGTCTGTACTCTACAAAACAAACAACCATGGCAACAAAGTAAATAAGAGAATAATACCATATTATCAATTTGCATTTACCTGTCAAGTAGCAAACCCTTGTGTAATTTATATAACTCCATTAAGAATCAACAATGTAGTAATAAATTCCAAAATCATGAACTGTAGGTTTTAGAAGTGTGACTATTATCATATCAGTCACCCTCCTGAAATTCTAAGGTTCATATACATGGTCAAATTTAGGTAAGTCTGAGACAGTCTCAAACCCTGGATCCAAAGATTCTAGATTTGTGTATTTATTTAGACTTATGTGGATACTGCAGAAAGCACATCAGATAATCATAACTTAGAACATAAAATAGAAAATTCAACAGAAATCTTATAATTATATCTTATTTTTAAATTATATTTTCATAAATATAACTTTTCTTTTTGGTGAGGAAGATGGTCCCTGAGCTAACATCCTTGTCCATCTTCCTCTATTCTTTGTATATAGGAAGCTGCCACAGCATGGCTTGATGAGCAGTGTGCAGGTCCACGCCTGGGATCTGAACCCGCGAACCCTGGGCCGCCGAAGCGGAGCATGCAAACTTAACCACTACACCAGCAGGCTGGCCCCTAAATATAACTTTTGAAAATGTAGATGATAAGCTTTAAAACGATCAAGCCAATGTGGTAGATTATAAAAGGACCACAAAGTCTTTCCATCCTGTGTGCTCACCCCTTTGCAATGTGACTCCACAGCTCCTCCCATCAGGAGGTGGCATCTACTTCTCTGCCCTTGAATCTGTGGCTGGCCATGTGACTTGCTTCAGCCAATGAAATACTGGCAGATATGATGCAAGCAGAGGCCTGAGGAGCAGTGGACCAATGGGGGCCGCCCTCTCTCACTGCCACGTTGCTCTTCTACCACTGTATGAATGACCCCGAGCTAACCTGCTGGATGCTGACAGACATATGGCCATCACCTTAGCTGTATGAATGACCCCGAGCTAACCCGCTGGATGCTGACAGACATATGGCCATCACCTTAGCTATATGAATGACCCCGAGCTAACCCACTGGATGCTGACAGACATATGGCCATCCTTAGCTGCCACCAGGCCGGAAGCCACATATGTGAGTGAGACCACTTGAGACATCTTGTCCCAGCCAAGCCAGCACAGCCTAGAAGAACTGCCCAGCCAATCCACAAAACTGTGAGAATAACAAATGCTTGTTGTTTTAAACCACAAAGTTTTGAGATTGTTTATTATACAGCAAAAGCTATCTGAAATAGAGGGCTGCTCGCTCTGGATGGATTAAATACATCTGTTTATCTCCATTCCCTAGCAAAATCCTAAAACTCCCTACAATAAAAGGGAAGGAATAAAAAGGGTATAAAATGATAAAGATATGGACAACAGGAGCAAAGATAATAGCAGATGAAAGATGTTAACAAATACTAAGAAGATGCAAAGTTGACAGAGGTGTGGTAAGTGACTTAACCAGAGTGGAGTAAGCTACTACCTGAGTCCTGTGGAGGGGATGGCCACAAGCAGTGGGCTCACAGCCCTACAGCAACCTGGGAACGCTCACACCTTGGAGGCACCAGGTACTGCAGAAAACAGCAAGCGGTACTAGTGAATAGACTATGTACTAAGCTGTCAGACCCCCGGGTTCCCTCCCTGCCCTAAGTAGACAAGTAGCTAGCACCAATAGCTAGCACTCTGTTCTCTCACTAAAGGAAACTGAAGATTTATTATTTAGAGAAATTCAACCCAATAAAATCCAGTCTTGGGAATCCAGGTATATTGAAGCACAGGAATACAGGGCTGCAAACAAGGGAATGAAGTGAAAGTCGCATCCTAAGATGTGGGACCCTTTGTCACCCTGCCCAGTCGTACTTTATGGACACCCTGGAGGTATTCTGAATAACACAGAAGGGCTAAAACTCCACCATGAGACACACCAACCAAAGAGCCAGCCAGCTGCCAGGGCCTCGAGTGCAGGCCTCTGGGCCACTCGCCCCACTCACCTCAGGGCATCTAACAGGCTTTCTTGTGTCTCAATTAAGATGAACAGAGAGGTCACCCAGACATTTGAGGAAAAGCCTTGAACATGAAATAAGGAGACCAAATAAACAAAAAGCCAGAAGAAAAAAAAGGAATGCAAAGAAAGGAGACACAACACAGGAAACAGCAGAAAAAAATATGTTTTCAGAGAGACAAACAGAAAAGACAATGCATGCATGAAACTTACAAAGATGCTATAAAAAAGGAATACTTATAGAACAGAAAAGAGCTCTTGCAAGTAAAAATATGAGAATTAAAATAAAAAACTTCAGTAGAATGGTCAGAATTTAAAATTGAGAAAATCACCCAGAAAGTAGAATAAAAAGACAATAAAATGCACAATAGGAGAGAAAAGGTAAGAAAACTAGGGGCTCAATCTAGGAGACACCTGACTAAAAGGCATTGCAGAACATAAAAGAGAGTGGAACAACTTATTTTTTAAAACATAACAAATTTTCCAGAACTAAAAGCCATGATTACACACAATGAATGAGTATCGAATTAGTAAATTTTAGAATACCAGGGATAAAGAGATCTGAAATTCTTGCAGAATTAAAAACAAAACAGACTATATATGAAGAATAGGGGACAAGAATATCATTTAACTTCTCAAAAGTAACACTGAATGCTAAAGACAATGTTTTCAATATTCTGAGAGAAGATGATTTCCAACCTAGGATTAAACATCTCACCAAACCATCAAGAGTAGCACACAGAATGAGGATATTTTCAGACACTGCTGCCTGTACACTCTTACTAGGAAGTTAATGGAGGTTGTGCTTTGCCAAATGGAGGGCACAGAACGAGAGAGGGGAAGGAGAGAAAAAGCCCTGCCAAGAAGAATAGTAAAGGGAGATCCGAGGGGAGCAGCTGCTCCACAGGAACAAGCTGGTTGGGAGTGGAGACTTGGGAGGGAGGGAGGTCTCAGGGGAAAAATTAATTAATGGATTATCTGATGCATTCAATAGTGAAAAATAGTATTGAGAGGGGTTTTAATTGATATTTTAGAGCACATGAGAAGAAAAAGTCCTAGAAAACTAAGCAAATGAAAAAGGCAACTTTTTTCTTCAGGGAATGCTATATAAATAGGTAAAAAAAAAAAAAAAAAGACTATGTCTTCATAAACGTTTCTTGGCTCAATGCAAACATCATTTACATGGTCATAATAATTTAAACATTGACCGCTGATTTAGCCAAAAATTGTGATATAACTTTTGGAATGAAGGGGAGAGAAAAAGTGGGGAGGGAGGGAAGTAGAGGGGATGACACAGTTAAATGTTCATCTATGTTTAAGAAGTCAAAAGATAACTTTTAAAACAGGAATGAAGAACAAGCAGTAAAAAAATATTTTTTAAGACTTTGGAGGCCGGCCCCGTGGCTTGGTGGTTAAGTGAGCGCGCTCCACTGCTGGCGACCCGGGTTCGGATCCCGGGCTCGCACCGACGCGCTGCTTCTCTGGCCATGCTGAGGCCGCGTCCCACATACAGCAACTAGAAGGATGTGCAGCTATGACACACAACTATCTACTGGGGCTTTGGGGGGAAAAAAATAAATAAATAAAATCTTTAAAAAAAAAAAAAAAGACTTTGGAGACCACCAGAAAAGAACTAAAATACTTAAAGTGGTTCACATAAAACAAGGTTATGTATGGATTGGTTGATGAAATATTGTGACCAGAGGCTCACGGGAACCCCACCCTGTACCCGCACCAGAAGCAGTGGTTTGGTATTTGCTCCTTGAGTGTTTGCGGCCACTTTATAGAACGTAACTACCATGAGGAAGAGTGGACTGTAATCACTGCTGCAGCTTTAGGACCCCAGTCCAGCTGGAAGAGAGGCCCTCGGGCACGGAGCTGTCCATGGTGCTGCCCAAGTGAGCGACTCAGTCTTAGGGGACCACATATCTCCCATAACTGTGTCCACTGGATTCAGGGGCCCAGAAAACCTTAATGGAATCAATGGTGAGGACTAGGGGAGAGAGGCCGATATGAAAGTCCTTTCTGTAAAGTTCTGTCCACATGTGGGTTTGTGGGGACTCTCTGCACTGTTGCCTTCCATATCTCAGTCAGCAGTGTAGCCTCCTCGCCACGGTGCTAGAAGGGACAGGAAGACAGGGACAGAGAGAGTACTGGAGGTTAGGGAGCTCTCTGCTAGAGTGGCAGCTCCCAGGGCTTGTGACCCAGGGGATTTCTTGCTGGTCAGGTCTTGAGAAAGGATGCAGGGAGGAGGGTTTACCTGTGGGAAAAAGACAGCATTGATTTCACAGGCCACACAAGGGTCCAATTACCCCTCTTGTGTTTATTCACACAGTTACTGCACCATGTGGTCCAGGGACACTGGAGGGTTTATGATCCAATGACCTCATCCGAGCAGACCACAGTGCTGACAGAGACATGCAAGGCAGCAGTGCAGGGGGTCCCCATGAACCCACATGTGGACAGAGCTTCAGAGCTTACAAAGGACTTTCATATCGGCCTCTCTCCCCCAGTCCTCACCATTGATTCTGACAGATGGAGTCACTGAGAGTCAGACAGGTTCAATGAATTGGCCACAAAGCTAGGAAGGAGTAGAGTCAGGACCTGAACTCAGGTGTGTTTCACTGCAAATCCTAACACTGCACTGCGCATCCCAGAGTCAGAATTCTCACTAGACCCTCACCTTCCCAGTTCTCGGACTGGGACTATGAGGTCTCTGTGTCTGTCTCCCTCTCCCTCCCTCCTCTCCTCCCTCTGAAGGGAGGGGGTCCCTCCCCTATCACACTCTTGCTTTCTTTAATGAGCCTTATGATATCCATCAAAAGTCATACATTCATCGGAAAAAGTAGAATAATCTTACTATTAAAAATATTAAAGGTGAAAAAGAAAAAGAAAGAAAAACTATCCTCTGTTAGGTTCAGCTCCCGTCACCTGGTGTGTTTGTTTCTAGAGCTTCCATGTGATTCATGTGGCTGTAGTCTGTGTGTCTACAGCTCCAGGTTCTGCTCTTTCACCAAACATTGTATCACATACATTTCCGTGTACCTACTTGTCTCCACAGGCATCCTTTTAAAAGATTGCCCAAGATTTGGTTTAGGACATATAGCATAATTTACCTAGATTCAATGTGGATAATTCTAGAATATTATTTTATTCTCCTTCTTCCTCATTATTATGATTATTGTTATATTATTTGTCTCATTTAATAATATAGGAAACATCTTTGTGCATAAGGCTTTTATTTTTGTATTTTTTATTTCTCTTCCATGAGGTAGATTCATAGAGGTAGGAACAGACGTTCATTTGCTTTTCTCGAAGGATAGAATGACTTTGTCCTCTGTGACACAGGAGAGCTCCGAGGTCAAAGCACCCTGCCAGCTTTAGCTGGCACCACTTTGTGCCAACTTCACTGGAGCAGAATGTATGTAGAATGAACTGCATCCATGCGAGGTGCACAACTTGATGAGCTTTGATGGCTGTGTACACCTGTGAAACCACCAGCACAATCGAGAAACAGAACGTTTTGGGGCAACCACCTATCTGCTTTCTGTCACTCTAGTTTTGCCTTTTCTGAAACGTTATGTGAATGTGATCAGACCGTTTGTAGCCTTTTATGCCTCACTTTTTTTGCTCAGCATGATTTTGAGATTTATCCATAGTGCTGTGGATCAGTAGTTCGTTTTTATTCCTGGTAATAAAACTGGTCCATTGAATGGCTATATCACGTTTCATGTGTCCATTCTCCTGGTTCCAATTTGGGGCTATTATAAATAAAGCTTCTATGAACAAAAAATAAATAAACCAAGTGGTTCACCGTCTCTGGATGCTGGTCTAGGGGAGAGGCAGGGTACAATCAAACTGTTGCTTCTTGTTAGAAGCTGTCGTTAGCATTACTTAACTTTTTAAACCTTGTGCATGTATTGCTTTGATAAAATAAAATTAGTGTTAAAATAAGAGCTCTTAAGAAATAAAGTAAAGATTTACCAACCTTTTGTCTCAGTTCATGTGTATCACTGGAAATGAATTCAATCACGTATGGCATCTCAATAGACATACTCAAAGAGAAGCTACCAAAAATGAAGAGAAAGTTGTCTTAGCCTAATATCTTAAATATGAAATAACTACAATAGTAAGTTGTTTCATATAATTGAGTAGTTGTTTCATATAATTTTAAATGAAAATTTAAACCATAGCACTAGCATTCATTGAGTGATCGTCAGGTTTTGTATCTGAGGTGCCAACCTTTGCTGTGCTCCTATTTCCTTTACACAAATCTTCTGCACTGTGTCCTGTTAAAAGAGAAATTTACATGTGTAACTGAGTATCTACTGCGTTCCACAATGAGACTAAGCTGAATGAAACGTCACCAAGGCCCAACATACAGCAGCAACAAGACAGCTGGTGGCGCTCTGGAGTAGAGAGACAGGGCACTTGCTCATGGACTACCGGTAACTTCTAAAATGAAGTTTTAAAGCTGATATCAGGGATAATTTATGACTATTTTTGACAGAGTTTTTCAACTATACATATGTCTATGTGTGTGTGCACACACAGACATATATATGTATCTATACATGCACACACACATATACACACAATTTATATGAATACATACAAAGTAGGAAGTCTGGAAGGATATATACCACAGTGTTAACCAGCAGCTTTGGGCTATCTGTGGCCATGGAATGAAGAATGGTTCACATTTTCCGCTTTGGCTTATTTGCACTCTTTATGCTTATCTAAAGTCTTCATGATGAACGTGTAGTACAGACACAAAAATTAAGTGACTGAACAGAATAAAAATATCATGCCCATTGAGCATATCTATGTCTTTATTTTCATTTTATAAACATTACACGTGCCTAAATGCATAAATGTCAGTAAAACTGACTCTATGCCAAAAAGATTAGATTATTTTAGATATTTTTTCTTCCTTACGCATAAATCACACACACAAAAAGCTTCTTTAAGTCTTATCATGAGCATGCGTACCTGAATGTTTTCATTCAAAGCTTTGTCCTGTTGCCAGGGTGCTACGGTGGCGGGCATGAAGAAGACGGCAACAGTGCCTTGGATGCTGAGTTCTGTGATGTAGGTAATTTTGATAAGGACCTTAGCCTTAGGGGGTAAGTTTCCAACACTTACAGTAAAAATATCCTGAAATAGAAACATATTACTTAGCCTGTAACTCAAAAGCATATCCATTCTATGCTAGTTAATCCTTCCTATTACATAAACCACTTAAATTACAATCTGCCAGATTCTTCCTCAGAAAACGGGAATAGAGCGTACAAGACAAGCGCTGGTAAAGCTAAAGGAGGATCCTGGAGCCATTTCCCAATGAGGGGACAGTGTGATGTCTACGGGGGCATAGCAGGATCCTGCCCTGACTGGGGAGCAGCACCCAGTGGCCTCTCTGCACCAGAGGCCCCACGTGCAGGACTCTGCCACACAGACAGTCTCCACACAGCCCCTTCTTGAAGGACCGGTGGCCTCTCTGACTCCACAGCGTCCAGCACCAGTTCCACCAGTGGCTGTCCAGCTAGACCAGTTTTCACTAAGCTTGGCCCTCACTTAATTCTTTTACCCTATAGTAAATTCATCATTTTATTTTTTAGAAAAGTATTTCATTTTCTTTTAATGGGGTATTGATAATCACTGCATAAGGAGACAACCTCATGACTAATCAGGGCAGAAAAAACAGAGGCTAGATGTATTTTTACTGATACCTACACAGAGAACCTCTTAAGACCTCCAGTCACATCCTCCATTCTACTTGATCATGCTGCCATGAAAAGTCAGCATGTTTAGATTCGGAGTGTATAATATTAATGATTAATATACATTTAAGAGATAAATTATTACGTTTGACATCACAAATATCCATTTGCAGGATGGGAACAAACAATGAGAGAATCTTATTAAACAGTTTATAGTGCTTGCCCTTAAAAGAAGTGCATAAAAATCTGGGGTTCATTCGATAGACTGGCACTTAATAGTGTGGGGTTGCAGCTCTGTTTCTGTGTAGGATATATATGGACGCAAGATGTCATTTCCATTATAAGAAGCCGGATAATCTACAAAAGTGTAACTTGTCTTGAACTGTCAGAAAGCTGAATTCCAAAGAGTGACAAGCCCCTCTGAGGACAGATGGGACACGCGAACTGAGTGATTTCCTACAGGCTAAGAGTGGGCTAGCATCTGGTCTAGACTGACAGGGCGTTCTCGACACAGGGGAGTCTGCACTCATTCAGAAGCTTCTTTCCACCAACGCTGGAAAGGCAGCCTCTCTCCAGCCTTGGTTTTGGCACTGAGATTTTCTCTTTATTTTCCCATTAACTCTTTATCTAACCTTTTCTGTTACTTCCTCACTTAAATATTTGGGATTACAAGCTAGACCTCTATCATTACAAACAGCAGATTAAGAGTTATGAGTCAGATATGTACTGGCTGCCATGGGAGCAGAAAGCAATGGCACCCAACCTTTCCTGGGGGGTGGCAGGAAAAGCTTTAGTTTTCCCTTAGATGAAGAGATGTTTAAGCTAAGATTTTAAAAATAATTTTTTTAAAAAAATCAAGCAAACAAATGGAGTTAGAGCATTCCAGCTAGAAGAACAAGGGCCTCTGCAAATGGCATTATGTTTTTGGGAACTATGAATACCTCAGGCTGATTGGGGCATGAAGTGGGAAGAAGAAAGTAGTGTGATGAGATTGAAAAAGTGGCAAGACCACGCCTTGGAGGGTCTTCCACACCATATTAATGAGCCAAGGGGACAATGACAGGCCCCAAATTAAAGTAACAGTGATAGGAACGGTGCTGACGTTGGCAGATTCCACAGATATCTAGTAGGAAACTTCAATAGACGATTAATTGGAAACGAGTAATGGAGGAGAGGGAAAGGAAGACATGAAGGATGACTCTCAGCTCTCCTACTTGGCTGACTGGGTAAATGGTGACACCATTGTTAAGACAAGGAAAACGGGGAGGAAGCAGTCTGGAGGGGAATGGGCTGAGATCATCTTTAGACACATTACCAAATAAGTATGTGGTTTTTAAAATATATTTTTATTTTTAATTATTTATTTCTTTTAATGAATACTCTACCCTGTTCTTTTTAACCTGACTTCAAAATGTATTAAATGAAAGATTAATTTATGTATATACTAAAGGTGGGCCAATATAAATTTGAGTCTAGTCATTTAGACAGACTATTTTTTGTGCCTTAACCCAAGGAATCTTAGAGAAAGAAAAAACTAATTTTAAACTAAATTAGACTTAAGCTTCCTTAAGTCAATGAGCTAGGGAACTTTCTCTAGGTATGGCAGCTCAGATCCCTTTCTGCTTCCCCCTTTACCATTTAACACTTAAAGGTAGGTGCTCCTGGGCTGGCCCCGTGGCTTAGCAGTTAAGTGCGCGCGCTCTGCTGCTGGCGGCCCGGGTTCGGATCCCGGGCGGGCACCGACGCAGCGCTTCTCCGGCCATGCTGAGGCCGCGTCCCACATACAGCAACTAGAAGGATGTGCAGCTATGACATACAACTATCTACTGGGGCTTTGGGGGGAAAAAAATAAATAATAAAATCTTAAAAAAAAAAATAAAAAGGTAGGTGCTCCAGGGCTGCATTCCTGGATAATGCCCAGTTTGCCACTATGCCATCTCAGGGACTTCCATGATGACTCCCAGAGCCCCACGTCTAGTGCAGACCTCTCTCCAGAGCTCCTGACTAAATAACCAGCTGCCTCAGACACCTGTCCCCACCAGTCTCTTAAACTTATTATCTCCTCGTGCCCTCATTCCCTCCATACCCACATAGAATCTGCTCCTCTCAAATACCTACCTTGATGAACACCCACATCAGAATGGTCCAAGTATCATTTTTGACTTGTCTCTCTGCCACATCCTCCCACCCTCCAATCTTTAACCAGTGCTGCACATTCTACCTAAAATCTTCACATCTTTTGTATCTTTTCCATTGCCACTGTCACTATTTTAGTTCAAGTCCTCATTATACCTCTTGCCTAGATTACCACAATAGTCACCAACTGGTCTCTATTATGGACTGCATGTTTGTGTCCCCCCAAAACTCATATGTTGAAACCCAAACACCCAATGGGATGGTATCAGGAGGTAGGGCCTTTGGGAAGTAATCGAGTTTAGATGAGGCCATGAAGGTGGAGCCCACATGATGGAATTAGAATCCATATAAGAAGAGAAAGAGACTAGAGCTTGCTCTCTCTGCCCTATGAGGAAACCAGGAAGAAGATCTTCATAGGAATCCAACCATGCTGGTAACATGATTTTGGACTTCCCAGCCTCCAGAACTGTGAGAAATAAATTGCTGTTAAAGCCACCCCATCTACGGTATTCTTGTTATAGCTGTCCAACCTAAGACAGTCTTCCCTGCCCCAAGTTGTCCCTCAGAGCACTCCAATCTTCTCATTACCACTGAGTGTTCTTTCTCAAAGGCAAGTCTTACCAGTGTTACTCCAGCCAATCCAAAATACTTCTATTTTCCCAAGGAATTGTGCTCTTTCAGGTCTCTTAACTACCTGTACACGCATGTTCCCTCTGCTTGCAAGGCCCTTACTTCTTAATTTTTCTGGGGAATTCCTACTTATCTTTCAAGACTGAGCTTGAGGGCCTTTGTCCTGGGGAAGTCTTCCCTGACTGTCTACTGCCTCGTTGTGCCACTACCACATTCAATACACGTCTCTGTACTGCATGTGTCCACACATCACACTGACTTGTTGAGTTTGCTTTCCACACAAGACTCTGAGCTCCCTGTGGGACCATCTGTTAGTTTTCAACCACTAGCATCCGGCACAGGTACTAATGTTGGTTTAGTTGTTGAACTGGAGAAAGGGGTAGTCAACAAGTCAAACTGCAGGGGGTCATTAGGGATGGCTGTTGTCTGGCATTTGGGAGACTGCAGGAAACCTTAGCGGGAGCATTTCAGTGGCCTGATGGGGGTCACTGCAGTACACTGAGGAGTGAATGGTAAGTAGGAAAACAAGTAAGTCTTGTGCTGAAGGGAAAGAGAGTAACGGGGTGGTCATCTGAGAGGAGAAGGAGAGATAAAGGGAGGGTCTGCTTTATTTTTTAGAGTAGATAGGGCAAGAAGAAAATGCAAGCAATGAGGGAGAAATTGGACATACAGATGAGAGGAAATAATCGATGGAGGAAGTACTAGGAAAAGGTTACATGAGAAGGGATTAGCACTAGCAATAATCGGAGGGGAAGGGGGGATGAAACTGAGGATATCATTTTTGAGTTGGAGGGAAGGAAAGCTAAAGGAATTTGTGATTTATAATCATTTTTACTTGAAATAACAAGAGGGGTCACCTATTGATAGTAGCGGAAATAGAGATAAGATTGCTAGTTAAGGAGAACTATAAGGGATTGAAATAGCTGCTGCTGAGAATGAAACAAAGAAGCTAACCGGGGAGAAGAAAAGGACTGTGGATGAGCAGTGAGAAGACTCGCCACAGGGAGGAGTGCGGGGTCTTCCCTGCAAGACACGCTTCTGCCAACTCGATCCGCGTTTCTGATATAATGTCTGTAATCTCAAGTATCCCCACACAACATTCAATCCCCTGGATGTCTAAAGCCAACTGGCTAGTCTTCTGATAGTCGGGAACATTATACATATATATAGCATAGATATACAATATATATAACATTAATTAATATATATAACATTAACATATATAAAATATAAAAAATATTACATTGTTAGTGCTATATATATTGTGTATATATATATAGTGTATATACATGTATAATGTTCCCGACTATCAGAAGACTAGCCAGTTGGCTTTAGACATCCAGGGGATTGAATGTTGTGTGGGGATACTTGAGATTACAGACACTATCAGAAGACTAACAAATAGATAATATGTATTTACATAATATATTAAACATATAATAATACATATATAATACGGATATACTAATTATTGTATTTATTATACAATAATTATATATAATCATTATATATTATATTAATAGATATTAATATAATTTATATAATTACTATATTAATTTATGTTATTTATATATTATTATATGATTATTATACATTATATTATTAATATAAAATATTATAGTATGAGAACATTATAGTCACTGGATGGCAAACTGCATTCTTAGAGACCCAAAGGCTCTGGTTAGCAAAGGTTCTGACCAGACTTTACCCACAGTTAATATCTTTTGTGATATTCTGTTCTCCTGTGGATCACATTTCTAGGGAACTATGTTAGCATCAAGGAGGAAACGTGCAGACCAATTCATTTATAACAATAACCCCACACCGTTAAGTGGCAGCCTGTCAAGTGAATGCCAGGCTTTTGTACATACGCTTCGGCTGGAGGGTAGTGTTATTAACTATTTAACAATGACCTCTTCCTTGCTTATTCCCATTCTGCAAATAGATATCTTAGATGTCAAAAGTAATAATTTATCCCTTAAATCTATATTAATCTTTAATAACTCCCCCTTCAAACATTAAATTTTCACACTACTAGGGCAACATGTCATCCTCAGAGAGATATCTGAAGCACATGGCCTTTCTTTAAAAACAACTGAAATATCTACACTAGAGATAGTGGTTAGGAACCAACTGCATGCTATCTAGTATCTGCCAAAGGCATCACAGGCACATTTAAAACATCTTATATTTAAGAAAAGAAATCTAGTGGACATGATAGTGTTCCTTCTTCTAGATTCTTCACATTCTATCCCTATGAAAGCAAATAATCAGAAAGAAAAGAACCTGGACCTATCTCAGGACCCTACAGAAATGCCTCCCTGGGTTACGATTTGGTGAAAATTGGATAAATTGTTAGGTGAGCTTGGTTATAGCAAAAATGTAAATATATTACAGTCTTTGAGCAGAAGATGAAAATTATGTATCCTAAATGTTTTCCTTTTGTTGTCACTTCTGGGAAACTCCATTCTCAATGACTGAGTTTGGTAATATTGAGGCCATTTCCTCCTTTATTTAGATGAGTCAAATGGGTCTGATCAGCTTGACCTCCCCTTGCTCACAGCAAGTGAAACTCTAGGGCCTAAAATAGCAAAAATTATCCTAGTTTCTGGTATGAATTTCATATTTCAAATAATTTTCCAACTCTTTTTCCCTTTCTAGTTAGTATGCTAGACTAATGATAAATAGCAAACTTACAGGTGAATCCTGATCCATCAAGTAAGCACCATGGCCTTGACTGACTGCTTTTCTGTATTCTCGGTGGGCTGCTTCCTTCTCTTTAATCTGGAAAAGATTATTTTTATACCAGTCATGATAAGAATAGTGATTTCAGACTTTAATAAGGAAAATTTCATCAATGTTTATTAAAAGCCAGGCAAAAACAGAAAACAAAGAGTCTAAGATGAACGGAAACATATAAAGTGATCATCAAAATGCACTTATCTAATAAGAATCTGAATCTGAATCAGAAAAGGCCAACTAAAGAGGCTTCTTTTTAAGTTGAGACCAAAATATTTCAGAGTCAATAGTGAAAAAAAAAAGTTTGATTGGGACTTCACGTTGAACAAAAAAAACAATAAATTAAGGTTATCTCAAATTTAATAAAATGTGAATTATTATTGCAACTGTGGGCCAATCCTTAGAATAAACAAAGAATGAATCAACTGTTCTTTCTTTTGGTACAATTTTTCTTAAAAAGTCACAACAAGAGCCTTCATTTTAGTTTGACTTTTACAGCAGAGTGCAGAGAATCAGTTTTCGCAAAAAATATATAAGGGCTTCACCAATTTTCCAGGGTGCCTCTGTTAAACTTTTGATATCGAAATCACTCTTTTTTGATAAGTGTCTAGGCAAAGAATTTGCAAGGCACTGACCAATGAAAACTAGACAGGTATGGACAGAAACCAGTCAATCAGGGAGTGATGTTTGAGTGGAGGCTAATCGTATAAGTGCTTGGTTTTTCAAAGAATATTTTGGTTTTATGATAAGGCTGCTACTCAACCTTATAGCTATGGGGACTCAGATAATGAAGATTTGGGTAATTGGGAAACTGACCTTGAAACCAAAGAGCAGTCACAATGCATTTTCTCCCCTTACCTCTCCTACTATGTGCTTCCCATTGATGAACGCTTCAAAACCACACACGGCCGCCTTATCATCCAAAGGAAAAATATATTTTGCCTCAATGGGCACATGATTTTGATTTGTGTATGTCTGGAAAACAATGACCTGAAGAAGAAAAAAATCCATATATTTGATGAAACCATATGGAACAACACTTGCAGGAACAACTATTAATGAAAACTATTATGCATATTTTCTTTAAATTCCTAGAATTTTTATCATGTCCCTCAAGTTCCCAACCCTGGCTTCAGGAGTTAGAGCATCCTACCATTGCAATGTAGAGTCCACATCACATGATAAAATGCACCAGCAGCCTGTTTAGGTAGTTCATACATGCCTGGCTGGAATAAAAGTCACTAGAAGAAGCATTACAAACACTGGCTTAACAGAAGCAATGCAGCTTTCATTAAGATGCTGAAAAAATAGCCCCTTTTATGTGTGGGCCTTGGTGTCACATGGGCTCAGAGACTATTCTAGAAAAGTTCTTCTCTCTGGTCTGCTTTCAGTTCTTGGCATTTCCTCCTTTACCTCTTTATACACAGCCCTCTGGCAGCTTTTCTCATCATCCTCATCTCTTCCTGTCTAGCTGACTCCTGACCCAGTCTTTTCCACTGCTATCTGCTGTCTCTATCATTATCAGATTAATTTCTAAATGGACCATGTTTATCATATCACTCCCTTGCTCAGAAAAAGGCTAGAGTCTTGAAATATTTGAAAATTTAAAAAAAAAAACCTTAGATGTGTAACAAATAGCAAAATTTTAACCAAGGGGCCATAATAAGGCAAAAATATTTAATTACTTGTAATCAATAATCTCTGAGAAGAGACTGAAGTGAAAATTGAAAAAAAAAAAAAGCAAACCAAATTCCAAAAAGCCGTCTACAACTGAATTTACTGTAAGCTGGGCTGCCCCCAGGGTTTGTGGGGCACCAGAAAAAAATTTTTAAGGGGCATCTCTCTACTTAAATAATTTGAGTCTCCCCCAATAAGCTGGTCAGCACCCTCCAGGAGACCCAATCTCTTGCAATTCTGCAAATGAAAGCCTTGCTGACTGGTGGCAGCCACCCACTCACCAGGTGGTTCCCCTAGAACTGGGGACTGGCCATGGCCCAAGATGATCCCATAGGCTCAAATCCTGTTCTTGGGTGTCTGGGTGACCCTTAGCAACGATAGAAGGTTAGAGAGCACCCGGCAGAAGAGAACTGGGCCTGGAGGCAAGCAGATTACTGCCTGGAAAGATGTCACACACTTTCCTCGTGCACAGAACTCCCTCCATCCCTCTCTTGGACATCCACAGTTTTACCAAACCCCTCAAAGGCCCATAGGCTCAACACATAATTGATGAGTAGGATCACTATTTAACTGTATCTTGGTTTAGGTAAATGTTTTCATCCTACTCTGTCAATGTCCTGCCTGCATCTACTAGCAGTTCTGTCTTTGCATATGTGTTCCCAGAGGTCAGGCCTATGTCTGCTTCATTCTCTTTGCACATCACATTGTACGATGGGCACTCAGAAAGTAAGAAATTTTAGATAATGATGATAAAAGTACTTTTACTAGGACTTAGAAGAGAAGCTAATACCCTGGAAAAATTTTTGACATCTGAATTTTCCTCCTTCAAACAAAACCATTATTTTAGTTTAGTTTAGTTATTAAATTAAAAACATTAAACTCATTCCAAGAAGAGTCAAATGTGTGAGCCATGAACATACAAATTCCCTGCTGTTAGGCCTCTACTTGGACACTCAAGGTCGATCTACAGGCCAGCTGTCTAATCACAAATTAGTGAAAAATTCACTGCTAAATCATGAATTAGTTTTTGGACAGACTTCCCCATTGAAAAAGCCTCGTCAGGTTTGAAATATCAAATGGTGCAAGTTGTCCAATCCAGAGTAATACACGGAGGACAGGTGCCTCTCCTTGAACACAATCATCTGTGTTTATGCCCACTGTATGTGACAAAATGTCCTGGGCCCTTTACATTCATTATATCTAATAGTCATAACACTGATGGGCAGATATTATTATTTCTATTTTACACGTGAGGAAAGTGAGACACAAAAAGGTTAAATAACTCCCCCAAGATCGCAGAGCTGGAAAAGAATGAGCAAGGATTCAAAGCTAAGCCTTTCAAACTCCAAATCCTTTGCTTTATACAATCCATACCACAGCATAGCAGTTAATTAGGAACCTGGACTCTAGAAGCAGAATAATCTGAACTCAAATCTGTGCTTTATCATATTGTTTAATGTCTCTGAGCGTCACCCTCCTCATCTAAACAACGGGCATAATCATAGCACTTACCCTAGAGTTTTGGGGAGAATTAAGCACAGCGTGTGAAAAACTCAACCCAGGACCTGATTCATAGGAAGTGGTAACCATTGTGGTCATAGCTCCTAAATGGCTCCAAAAGGATTAGCATATGTAGAACATTTCCCACAGGTCAATATCTGAGTCTTCCCAAAGACTATGACGTCCCCCTAAGCTACTTCAGGGATGTGAGTATGGACCAGATTGGGCCCAGGGGGTAGTGATCAGATATATCCAAACTAGTATAAATACCATGAGTATGGTAAGAAATTTTCACATATTGAGGTATATGGGGTAGCTATTCTGGATTAAACCTGGTTCAGTTGGAACTAAAGCAGCCTGACTTACAGCCTATCAAACATACACTGTACATCTGCTTTAACCATTAAAGTAAAGAATGCATTAAACATTATCTCAAAGTCAAAGAATGCACTCTTTGAAGATAAGGATGCATACTTTCCTACAATGCCAGTATGGGTAATGCCGGTATCAGTACTCCTGAAGATAAGTTTCCTTTATTGGACATTAGGGTCATGCTGACCTGCTAATCTGCAACTAAATATCTCTTTGAAACTTTGATGAATATGTATCCCGAATACATATTCAAGATGAATACATATGTTCTTTGTTCTAAAAAGGTATAAAACTGTACTGAAAACCATGCTTCTCTGGAGCACTTTCTTCCTTTGTGAAAGCTTCTCTCCCAGGTTATAATCCTCAACTTGGCTCACATAAAATTCACTTTCTCTCTCTTATCTATAGAATGGTTATTGGTTATTTGCATCGACATTTCTTGGTGTAGTCAGCAGGATTTCAGAGAAACCCACCTGAGACCACCTGAAGTCTACTTTGAACTGGGGCTTGGTACCAGCATGGGCCCCCTAAGCCCCTCGGGCTTCACCGCACTCTTTGGGCACCTCGGTAAGTTCTCCTGAAATCTGGACCTCCTTATTTAAGTCGAAGATCCTAACTTTCACTTGAGCTGTTTTAAGTCATAAGACTAGGTGTCTTAAGGGGGTACCAGGACATACCCCAGGTAAGAGGAACCTAGGGGGAATTTCCTAGGCCGGTGGAGCCTAGGGGGAACTTTGGAGTGAATGGGGCAGGCTGACCTTTTTACTTTGGCTTTAAATTGGAAAGAATTGTGTCTACAAAGTCTGAACAAATTGTTTAAAAGCAAAATGAGAGAGTGAACTCGTTTACCTCAGAAGACAAAGAACACAGCTCCTTCTAGCCATAAGGCATTCTCAGGTGACTGAGAACCTAGTGGGAGTGTCTGAGGTTGAGCCTCATAACGTGCAGCGGTCTCATAGGGAATTTCATCATGATCATTCACTTTAAGTAGCTGATAGCTCATCCAGGAATGCACAAATAAGGATTGGTCATTTAGTGCTCGCAGCCCCCATGGTAGTTTTAAACTGCTGGCGGGAGAAACTGAGACACATAAAAGAGAGTGTCCATGTACTTTTAGGAAGTGACACTCATAAGCAGCATACTTCTGACCACTACACTGTCCTTAGAAATTGTTCAGACTTTATATTAAAACAAAACTGAAAGAAAATGGGAAATCGTGCTTCGAATATCAAGAAGTTCCTGAATGGGCAGCCTCCCCCTGGAACTCTGTCTGGCTTGATGTACAATATGTATGGAGCTGATACTTGCAAGTGCTTAACACAATGGGGATAACTATAAATGGCTGGATATTTGGACCAAGAGAACCCAGGATAATTTGAAATTACAGTGGCCATTTTGGGGCTCCTTTGAACTTCCAAAACTTGTCTCTTTGTGCACCAGATTTAAGAGCCTTGGAACAGACATATTAAACGCAGTCTTTCATCTTTAAAGAGTCAAGCACAACTACTCAAAAACTAAAGGTTCTGGAAGTTGTAAATATTTACAAAGAACAGCAAAATCTTACTAAGCTTGTTTAGTGTCCTGAGAGCTTGGCTTGATAACAAGTCAGGTTGGGGGCCCCAAAATATGGTTGGACAAAAATGCAGTTGCACCCCATTTGCAGTCAGCTATGGTCAGACAGAAATGTGGGTTGCACTCCACTAGTGGCTAGGTTCTATCAAACTGCTGCCAGCCTCAGGGGAATTACATTGACCATTGGAAGGAACATTCCAATTAGATAAGATCACTTAAGAAGTGCACTTAGGGGCAGGCCCCGTGGCTTAGCGGTTAAGTGAGAGCGCTCCGCTGCTGGCGGCCCGGGTTCGGATCCCAGGCGCACACCGACGCACCACTTCTCTGGCCATGCTGAGGCTGCATTCCACATACAGCAACTAGAAGGATGTGCAACTATGACATACAACTATCTAGTGGGGCTTTGGGGGAAAAAAAGGAGGAGGATTGGCAATAGATGTTAGCTCAGAGCAGGTCTTCCTCAGCAAAAAGAGGAGGATTAGCATGGATGTTAGCTCAGGGCTGAACTTCCTCACACACAAAAAAAATAAAATAAAAAAGAAGTGCACTTAAAAGCAAAGCCTTCAAAATTCCAAAATAAGCTTATTGAAATTTTTGTGGCAAAAAGATAATAAAAAATTAAGTTATAAGAAGTACCTAAAAGAAAAGTCTATCAAGTTATGGCTTTACAGACACCCCCATAATCCACCTTTGAAGGAGGGCCTAATATGAGCCCCTTCCAGAGTTGACAGGATTCAGAGATTTTCCAGGAAACTGCTATGTTATTTCCTTAAACAGTCAAGGGGAAACTAAAATTAAACAGAGTTGTTTAATGCTGTCAGGAACAGTTACTGTTTGTCCCAGCTGAAACCTGACAAGATATTTGAAAG